GTTGTCTCTGGTAGGTGGCGTGTATTTGGGGTTGATAGTTTTTATCATGTCCCTGCAAACATATAAACAAACATAGTCACTGTTATAGTAACGTTAGCACAGACTATCAGCTTAGTACAATCATAATTGCTGAACTAACCTAAATGCAGGTGACTCCACATCTAAAAAGGGATGTAGTCGTTTTACAACATATGCTGTTACTTTTCTGTGGCACTCTTCAATTTGTTGGACTGACATCTTTCCTTTAGATGCTATGGTGAACGGATTAACACACAATGGAGTCTGGTGAGCTGCCTGGCTGCGGTTAGCATTTTCAGGTCGATCGTCTAAAAATACACATGCTAATTTTAGCTAAATATTTGCATTTGAGTTGATCCACTCTATGAGGTCGATTAAAACCTGCTGGCTGATTGTCACAATAAAACGTATTTTACTTACCGAGTTGTGCGTTCAGCGTGGTGCTAGGCTGAGACTCCGAGGATGAGGCAGTGGAGGAAGGACGACGCAGCACGTCGAAGACGGTGCACTTRGTTAATTCTACACCATGAAGCCGGAGGTGTTTAATTATATTAGTTGTGCACCCTCCTTTGCACGAAATAACTTTACCACAAGTGTTGCACTTAGCCGAGTGGTCTTTTATTTTTGTAAAGTTGAGCCACACTTGTGAACGCCGCCGAACACCTTCCATGTTTGCAAACGCCGCTCTGCGTAGTGCGCGCACACGCTTCTTCTTCGTTGGTGTTTAGGCTACTTCCGGTTGGCGGAAGAATCGAAACAAGGAATCGAAGTTTTAGAAATTGAACGATTCCGGGAGAATCGGAATGTTAGTCCCGGTTCCAATCGATACTCGAGACTCGATGCCCAACCCTAGTTATATGTCTACAATTCTGGTTCAAATATAGAACTTTATTTTTGCTAGATTGTTAACAAATTATTTGTGAGTTAAAATTGCTTTAATGGGCAGTGATTTTAAAAAAAAGTGAACCATTAAAACATCAATGTTAAATGTGATGTGTTTGCAAATTTGGGTGCACCTTAGTAAAAATGTTAGGCACACTTGTGCAACAAGTGCAAAAAGTTAGTCTAGAGCCCTGCTAAGCTTTTATCCTTAATGGCTTTATTTAAAGTGTTCATTACTTTTACTTTTATACTTTAAGTAGTTTTAAAATCAGTACTTTTATACTTTTACTTGAGTAAAAAGCTTGAGTTGATACTTCTACTTCCAAAAAAGGATTTTTAAACCCTAGTATCTATACTCCTACTTAAGTAATGAATGTGAATACTTTCGACACCTCTGTTCTACACTAACGGGTCTTTTAGCATGACAACACAAAATAACATAAAATATTTTTGATGTTTAAAATTAGATTTGCACTCATGTCCAGGATGAGAGGCATCTAAAAGTTAAAATTATAATTTAATTCCATATAATACTTAATCTGACGTTTTCCCCGATACAGAAAAGTGCATCTGACCGATGGTCTGTCTCATTGTTTGTTTGCGCAGGTGTCGTCTTTTCATCTATTACCTGGTGATTCTGGTGGAGAACGCCGCTCTCAGTGCACTGTGGTATCTGTACCGAACACCTCAAACTACAGACGCCTTTGCAGTTCCAGCTCTCTGCGTCATTTTCAGCTGTTTCCTCACGGGTCTGGTGTTCCTGCTGATGTATTACGCCTTTTTCCATCCCAACGGGCCTCGCTTTGGACGCTCATCCAGCGGCCACGGACTAGATCTGGACCCCTCTGCTCAGTTCTCCACACTACCTTCTGAGGGAGCGACCAACTCACTGCGTTCCAACCGAGGCGCCACCACCACCTCCACCACCACCACCACCACCCTGGAGCGTGACGCGGGGAAGTACTCGGAGCGAGACGGCTGCATGCCGGTGTTTCAGGTGCGGCACACGGTGCCATCCACGTTATTGCTGCGTGCTCCACGGATAGAGGAGACAGTCATCAAAATCGACCTTTGTAGGAACCGCTACCCTGCGTGGGAGCGCCACGTCCTGGACCGCAGCATACGCAAAGCTATCCTGGCCGTTGACTGCTCTGTGACTCCTCCTCGTCTGCAGTACAAAGATGATGCTGTGGTGCAGGAACGCTTGGAGTATGAGACCACCTTATAGTCCCACCTCACTGTCAGAGCAAGACCTGCAGCAGAAACACCAACAGGGATCGTTGAGTGGCTAGTAGAAAATCAATTATTTTTATCTCCCATTCATTTTTTCCCCTCCCTATTAACCGGAACCTGCGGGAAGGAGTTGGAGGAAAGTCTGGCCCAGTTTGAACTGATGTGGTTGGATTATTCTGTTCTTTTTACTTCCACTCATCAGGGAAATTCTGACATGAACAACATGCTTTGATACTTTGTGTGAAACGAACAAAAATCTGATCCAAGTGTGTGAAACGGTACTTCAAATATTCAAACAACAGTGTAGAAGCAGCTGTCCATCAGTCAGCAGGATAAAACTCCTGTTTTCTCTGTGCCAACAAGCTTTCTGAGCTCTACTGGGAACCGTTTTAAATTGGTTAAATAGTCAAGAAAGTACTTCTATAACCCAGAAATGTTACTGTTCTTACCTCACTTTGGTCTGCTCTGAAACATCCAACAAGACAAAACTACAGTTAGTGGTCCAAGCAGCAGCTCTACCTGTTCTCATTTATCTGAAAAAAAAAAAGAAGCAAACCTGGCTGGATGGAACAGAAGAGTGAAGACTGAACCGGAATCACCTTGCACTCTCTTTCTCCCACAATGAAGCAAGCTGAAATCACACAATGCAAAGAATAAAAAAAGACAAAATCCACACGGCAGCTCAGCTCAGCTGTTCATCTCGTCATTCTGACTGTGCAAAACCATGGATCCTATCCTAATCTGTGAACAAACCCAACCAACAGCAACGGATAGCAGAGTGAGATTCAAACAGAGAGAAGCTGCCAGGATGTACAGTTCTCTCCTCCAACATTAAGAGTTTTTAGATAAACAGAAGATTTTCTGTAGAGAAGATTCTTGTCAACGGTAATTTTGTGCTTTTTGTGTTTAGATGTGTTGAAAACCTGCTGTGTGTGTGTGTGTTTGTTATAGAGATGAAGGAGTGGAAGCAGGGTAACGACCATCAGTTAGGAACTGACATTAAGTCGAGTCAGAAGATAAAAGAGAAAGATGCTGACTCAGCATCAGCTGTCACAAACGGCTGTATTTTCCATCACAGGTTATTATGCTACTGGGTTCAGTTTATGAGTTTACTAGAGTAGAGTTGGGCAATATTGACAAAAAAATTAAATCACGATTAAAGGCACAGTGTGTAGGATTTTGTCAATTCTTTTAGCCGAAATTGAGATAATCACTAATGACAATAATAAAAAACATGTCCAATCATTGCAGACAAAGACCTTGTTTTATTATTTTTGCCTTATAAAAAGCTGTTTATATCTCCATGGTCGCGGGTCGCCACACAGGCAGCCGCCATCTTGCACCGCCATCTTGTCTACGAAGGCTCATGAAGGACAAACTGCGGTGGCAGCGTCAAAAACGGTTTTAGTTATAATACTATAAATGTAATATTTGTTGTCTGTCATTGTAGCTGGGATCATTTTACTTATTAAAGCTCATAATCTTACCACTTGAAACATC